TTAACAACTCTGAGCTATTAGTTAAGTTCTCCCCAAGCGAGCTCGATGGGCCGAATGGCCTCCTCTCGTTTGTATAGTTCTTATGTTCTTATAACATCCTCGAGGGCAAACGGCAGCAGAGTACGTGTTGTGTGACAGGCAGACAGGTGGCTCTCAGAGCTGCTGTCTGTCTATCTCTGTATCATGTTCCCAGCTGCTTCCTTACTGTTAGACCGAAACAGCATCGTCTTTGCCGCCCTGCTGCCCACTAAGCTAACATGCTGCCGCTAAGCTAACATGCTGCGTGGCTCTTCATGAAACTGTGAGGAGGAAAAAAACAAATAATTTATGAGCAAACAGGGGAAGGTACAAATGCAAACTCAAGAAATGTTAGGGCATTCACATGCATCTGGTGTGACGCTCACACTTTCAGACTCACACACAAGTAATTTTATAGCAAATCTGTATTATTCCATTATAAACCTAAAACTAACTACATGAAAAGCGTTGGGGTAGTTTGCAAACCTTACAGACTATTTACAAGGTAATAAAACTGTTACATGCATGTAAATGAGTGTGCAGTCTTCTCTCGAATTGAAAATCTTACGGCAGCCAGCTGACCAAAGTTGGCGACCCTGTCACAGTGGACTCAGATACGATGGACAAAGTGTGGGGTTAAAAAGGCAGATCACCGCCTCCACTTCCCCAGAAAGCGACACGAGCTCAGGCTGGCTCCCAAGATCCTGAAGGCCTTCTACACCTTCATCAGCGAGAGCATCCTGGCTTGGAGCTTCACCAACTGTTTTGGGAGCCGCACCAAGCAGGGTAGCACAGCTCTGAGCAGGGGGTGTTCTCCCGAACCTGCCGGCCACTGGCAAAAAGATAATCAAAGGTCTAACCCCCCCCCCCAGAACAGCCTCCTCTCACTGCTGAAGACTGTCAAAAGCCAGAGGCTGAGGGAAGGCTTCTACATGCGGCCGTCTGACGCATCAGCTAATAGGCCACCTCTGTGCACTGTAGGTGACTCCTAACTAAACTGTTACAATGTCTTTTATTCTTTATGTCATAAGTTACTGCTTATAATTTTAATTCTGTTATTTTTATTGTTTTTCATCTGATCGGTTATTATTTATCCTTTTATATTATTATTATTATTTATTTGTATTGCATATTTCCCTTTGAAAACATGTAAACAGCATTACACTGCGTGCAGTGTATGTTTGGGTATGCGGCAAATTAACCCTAAAAACTTGGGGTTCATGAAGATAAACAACAAAATACAGAAAAATTAAACACAGAAATGCAATGTCTGCAAGCTGACACTTGTCAATTAGGAAAAAATAAATACATGAAAACGAGCTAGTAAAGCAGGGATCTGCAGCATTCAGAACTGAACTGAGAACAGCCCTGAAATCCCTAATCATAGCATAGGTGCAGCTTTTAACAATGCAGCTTAATTGCTCAATATGAATTACAGCTAAACATGCTGACTTGTACAGTGTATAATGTATCATTCTTATAAATGTGTCATTTGATTCAGAATGAAAGAATGCAACATTTGAAGTGTCACCTACAAAATAAATAATTTAGCTAATTTGACGTTGGACTGCAGACCTGCCCAGCGCATATCTTAAGCACCACAGCACAAATCTGATTAGGGCCTGGACTCTAGCCACAGTGTTACCATCAAAGGTAATTTTATCTTGAATCGACTTAGTCATGCTCCTCAGCTCATCTAACTGCTCTGTAAAATCATGTTTCGTGAAATACAACTCATGCATACTATCAGCTACTTAGATAAAACCCCCAATTCTAGCTACCACCAGGCCTGGTCGTTTTTTTTTCATTCTGTTCCAGGCAGCTCTTAGGTTGTTGCTTCTAAACTCCGTCCCTGGCTTGTCTTTGTAATTAATTTTAGCTTTTCTTGATTTCTGCTCTCACCATTTTTCTCACTTCCCATACCTTGGTTATATCACCGCTATTTATAGCAGCTTAGCTCTGGCTAATCAAATGCTTTTCTGTTATTTGGGGAAGCCGTCACTGCCAGGGGGGGCATGGTGGTGCAGTGGTTAGCACCAGTGCCTCAGACCCCTGGGTGCAGGGTGTGTGTGTGTGTGTGTGTGTGTGTGTGCATATGTTGTCCCCCACAATGGATGATTGGACTTTCACTTCCTAACAGTGTCTTTACAGAACATAATGTAGCTACACATCAGTATTTATGTCATCTGAAGACCCCAAAAACACTGAGTAGTCAGTGCAGTCGAAGCAGACAGACATCGGGTGGTGGGGGGTTTATTTCATTTGGGGCCGCTGTGTACCCCAGGCCGATGTAGACTAAACAAATAATTGATGGTCTGAAAGCCTTTTGAAACTCAGTCTTTTGTGTAATAAATTGTATACATTCTTTTGTTATTTTGATATTTTGTTTCCATATTAAACGTAAAATATACTGCATCAGGAATCTTTTGGTTGGTTAATGTTACGGGTTGGGTGTCCTCAAGTGGGGGCCGTAACAGTTAGCAATCACTTTTCTTTGATGCAGAAATATGATGGAGATGCACGTAGATGTCACGTTCGGCAACAGTAGGCGAGCCGGGAAGCAGGCGACAGCAGCCAGGAAGTCAGGTAACGGGGTTTAATTAGCAAAAAACAAGCACGCCGAGACATCCACGGACAATACAATGACAAGTCTGGGGAAGACTGACTCAGACGAGGACTAAATACAAAAGACAAGCTAGACTTAATAGGACACAGGCGATCACAATCAGGGCTGAACACGAGGTAACGAGGTGGGCGTGGCACACATTAGGATCGTACGGAGCAGGGTGTGACAGAAGAAAAAATTTATTAACTGATGCGTTAAATGTAATTGGGCTACAAAAATAACTGGATCTCCACATCATACATAATAATACATTTTTTTTATTTTGCGCTTTTACAAGATCTCAAAGATGCTTACATAGAATTAAGTAAATAAAAAGAAACAAAAATGACAAAACATTATGGATAGGGAAGGTTTTTAGCTTGATTTTGAAATTTGAGACGAATGGGGAAAATCCATGGCCACCATTGCCATGTCACTTGGAAGGAGGGGTGAGGAGAGAGCAAGAAGAGGGGGATCCGAGACTCTTAATATTTAGAAAAT